TCAAGGAGTGTTTTCAGAAGTGAAGGTTTTGCATGGTATACACATACATTTATACATTCGACAGCTAAGTTGATCAACCCTTGACTGAAAATACAGGCATTCCAGAGCTGGCTCTGATAGGATATCAGTGTATTGACTTAGCTTACACTGTCACCTAGTGGTGAAGATATGAAATAATCAGATTTGGTTTTTATTTTTCTATGACTTGAGTATAAAGAAAGAAGACATTCATCAGTCTGACTCATTCCAGGATGGAATCTGATTTCCCTGCTTTTCCCAAGTAGTCCATCTATTTATTTCAATGTATGATCCCTATATATTTTCCTTCTAGAGGGCTACCGTCTCAAATACTATTCTTAATTTTGTGTCTGAAAAGCTTATCAGTAACAATTGACCTTTTTTTTTTTTTGGTGCTCCATCACTGGAAGAGGCTGGACAGTTACTTGTCTGAAATGGTATAAGGTCTCCTGCTTGAGCAAGAGGTTGGACTAGAAGACCTCCAAGGTCCCTTACAACTGTTATTCTGTTTTTCTGCTGAATGTTGACACAATGATTTCAGGGGATCTCAAATAGATGCTGGACATGTGCGTCCTCACCTGACAGAAACATGAAACTGAATATTTGGGTAACCTAAAGAAGGCAATAATGGAACCCTACAAAGGAAACCATATTTAATATCTAAAAGCATTGAGTACTATAGGTATAATCATAAATATATTACTCTTGAGCAAACGCTATTACGGAGTAGTGTCTTGTGAGCTCCAGACAGTCTTTTCACAATTGTCACCAGCTAAAAGCCAAAAAGCTAGTTCAATATTATGGTGGATGAAAATACAGTACCATAGATTATTATTAATGTCTCTTTGATTGATGTTTGTAGCTGCCCAGGATTGTTTTGAGAGATAGCCATATATGTTGAATAAAAGAAATGCAAAAATCAATATTACATACCGTTGTTTAGAAAAATCATCTCTGAGCAGCTGACAACAGCAAGGATTTGCATCTGCACAGACAGTGCAACATGAAGAATTTGGGCAAAACTGTAGTCCTTTTTTGTATTTTACTTTCATTGGGATTTATTGTAACATAAATACAATGAAAATAAAGAATTTTTTTTAAAGAGGGAGAAAGAGAACATTTTAAAAAAGCATTGTCTTGCTTTTTACTCTGTCTTGCCAGCAGAGTAAAATACTGACTACATTTACAACCTCAACTTTTGCATTGCATTTAGTTATTACAAGACTGCAGGCTTATTTGCATGCCCTTTGAGAGACACACCCTCTCAAGAATAGTAGTGGAATTGTACACAATATTCTCCACCTGCTTTTACTCAGACAGTGCTGAGTTCTTAGAAAGTATTTTTCCCATTTCCCTTTTTTTCCTTTGATTATGGTTTTCTTCTGCTGGCTTATTGCCTTGAGGCTTTGTTTTGTAAATGTATGAACTGCTGGAGCAACCTTCCCATCATTGACAGGAATTCATTCTCTCCTTTGCTTGAAGGCAGATATTGTATTGATTTATTACTTGTGAAGCATATTTATGTATTTGTCACCTCATTTGCCACCTCTATTATTTAGTGACTTTATGTGGTTTACAGAAGGGATTTAAACTCTTAAGTAAATAAGAACTGAAACCAAACCAAACAAAGACATCCTAAAAGTATAAGGGAAAAAAAGAATACAGCCTCATGAAATTGTAATTAGGAAGCAAAGCATTACATCCTATTCCATGGTCTGACAAAGCAGTTAGATTTTTTTATGGTTTCATGGAAGCCCATAAAGGTTGGATTGAGCCATGAGGCTCTCAGAAGATACAGAATTGCAGAATAACAAATTTGGAAGGGACCTTGAAGATCCCCCCCTGGCCCCTCTGAGGTCAAACACAACCATGATGCGGCCCTCAATGAAATTGAGTTTGACACCCCTCTTCTAATCCAACTCCCTGCTCAAACAGGAGATCCTGTACTCTTCTGGACAAATGCCTGACCAATCTGTTCTTAAAACCTTTAGTGACAGAGCACCCATAACTTCTAAATGCAAGTTGTTCCACTGATTAATTGTTCTCACGAACTTCTTATTTCTAGGTTAGATCTCATTTTGTTAAGCTTCCATCCATCACTTCTTTTTTTTCCCCCTCAGGTTAATTCCCACCTCCTCTCTGTGACAATCCTTCAAATATTGGAAGACTGATATCATGTCACCCTTAGTCCTCTTCGTTAGACACTTGTTGTTGTTATTAGTTGCGAAGTTGTGTCCGACCCATCACAACCCCATAGACAACGTTCCTCCAGGCCTTCCTGTCCTCTACCATCCTCTGGAGTCCATTTAAACTCACACCTACTGCTTCGGTGATTCCATCCTCATTCTCTGCCATCCCATTCTTCTTTTGCCCTCAATCCTTCCCAGCATTAGGCTCTCTCTTCTCCAGTGAGTCCTTCCTTCTCATTAGGAGGCCAAAGTATTTAAGTTTCATCTTCAGGATCTGGCCTTCTAAAGAGCAGTCAGGATTGATCTCCTCTAGGACTGACCAGTTTGATCACCTTGCAGTCCAAGGGACTCACAGGAGTCTTCTCCAGCACCATAATTCAAAGCCTCAATTCTTTGGTGCTCAGCCTTCCTTATGGTCCAACTTTCATAGCCATACATTACAACTGGGAAAACCATAGCCTTGACTATACGTACTTTTGTTGGCAGGGTGATGTCTCTGCTTTTTAGTATGCTGTCTATATTTGCCATAGCTTTCCTCCCCAGGAGCAACCGTATTTTAATTTCTTGGCTGCAGTCCCCATCTGCGGTGATCTTGGAGCCCAGGAAAATAAAATCTGTCACTCCTCCTCTTTCTTCCTCATCTATTTGTTAGGAATTGAGAGAGCCGGATGCCATGATCTTAGTTTTCTTAATGTTGAGTTTCAAGCCAACTTTTGCACTCTCTTCCTTCACTCGCATCAAGAGGCTCTTTAGTTCCTCTTCATTTTCTGCCATTAGAGTGGTATCATCTGCATATCTGAGGTTGTTGATATTCCTCCCAGCAATCTTAATTCCAACTATCACTGGACTAGACATTCCCAATTCCTGCAACTCAGTTCTTGACATTGTTCTGCAAGGCAGCTACTGAGGAGACTATCATAAGTCTTCTATTGCTTTATAATTGGAACTTGAAGTGCATCAGTTTTTCCAGAACTTAATGATCAGGCAGAAGGAATATGAAAAATGGTCCCATTGTAATCAATCCTACTTCAGTTCCTAAGGAATCTAAATTTATTGTATTGGGGATTTTTTTTTCAAAGCAAGGACAGCCTTAATGTTTTAGATTGGCACTACATCAGTGGTGGGTTTCAAAATTTTTTACTACCGGTTCTGTGGGTGTGGCTTGGTAGGCATGGTATGGCTTGGTGGGCATGGCAGGGGAAGGATACTGTAAAATCTCCATTCCCTCCCCAATCCAGTGGAAGGTTACTGCAAAATCCCCATTTCCCCCAAATCAGCTGGAATTTGGGAGGCAGAGAATAGATTGGGGCGGGGCCAGTCAGAATTTTTACTACTGGTTCTCTGAACTACTCAAAATTTCTACTAACGGTTCTCCAGAACTGGTCAGAACCTGCTGAAACCCACCTCTGCACTCAGGGGTGGGTTCTAAATATTTTTACTACCGGTTCTGTGGGCGTGGCTTATTTTGTGGGTGTGGCTTGGAGGTCATGTGACTAGGTGGGCGTGGCTAGCTGGTCAGAGTCATTTCTGGAAGGTCCTCGCACTTACAACCCAACTCATTTGTTTGCTTTTAACACTGATCAGCTGTAGGACGGCCCTTTGAAGCCCCGCGGCAAGAGTTTAAACAGTTTTTTTCCCTCTAGTCATCAGCTGGGACTCAGGAGGTAGCAATAGATTGGGGTGGGACCAAATAAAAGGTAAGAATAACGTGGGGGGGTGGGAGGGTCGGGGGGAGAACCGGTTCGGTGATGTCATATCGTCACCACTACCGGTTCGGCCGAACCGGACCGAACCGGGAGGAACCCACCACTGTCTGCACTACATGTAAAGGATTTCTCCCCAGTCTGTATAATTTTCACTGCAAAAAGAAAGGAATTCTGAACCATAACTCTTTTAACAAGTTATATGAACATTCTTAAGACATTTAATATCCACATTAGGCAACAATAAACCACTGGCACTGATTTATCAAGAAGTACCATAGGTGGCAGCATCTGGCCAACTATGGCTGATCTTGTAAAAGCTAAACAGACTCCAATTCTGATTTAGAACCTACCAGGAAATCTCAGGGCTGTAGGGTAGACTGCAAAATTGCCACTGCTTTATTTTATGATAGTTTTCCAGTCTATTTCCATAACATTGCAAAGGAACCTACATTAGCATGTCTGTATAATCTTTAGGAACTATGTTTAACTAGAGGGATTTCTTCATTTTTGGAAAACCATGGGAACAAATAAGAGCTGCCTTGCAAGTTAAATGTAAACAAAGCATATTTTCAAAATCAATTGTCTATTTTTGAAATTGTGAGGTTGAATAAGAATTTCTCTGCAAATTTATTTCAGATTTGGGCATTCAGAAATCCTAATTACAAGGAGAAATATATCAGCTCAGCTACTTTCAACTTTTTCAAGTTTAGAGAAAATGTTTAGAGATAAGCTATAATAATCTTCTATTAAAAGAATTATATAGCACACCTAGCTTTTGAGAACCATAATAATCAGTGTTTTCTTGCCATAGGGCATTGTAATAATATTTAGCTGAAAGTTGTTATAACCTATTCTCAAAAGTTTCTATCAGCATGGGAAGTTCTCTCCTCCATATTTACAATGCCCAAAACAGAGGTATTTTCAACTTTTGAACAAATACCTCAAATTATTATATATAATTGAACCCTCTTGATAAGTGAGCTAGGCTTACTTTCTTGTAAAGAGCTTGTTTTTTCTCCATTCACACATTTGGACTCCACCCCTCTTAATCAGAGAATCTGTTGTTTTGTGTGTGTTTTTCAAACAGATCCCATGGCTTGAATAAGTTTGAAAATCCCTGAACTGCATTATGTGTGCGGGAATGGACTTTCTACCCTGGTTGGTCACTGTGGGTATGTAGTAATACTGGATTTCTGCACTGTACAATGGCTCAGATTAGATTATTTCTAAATTCCTTTCCAACTCTTACAGTCAGTGATTATATGATCTTAGATGATGAAAGCTATTGGAAAGCAAGAAATTCATGCTAAATTTGATACTCCTAAAGCAAACCTTGAACTCTTTGAATTTGAAGCATAAAATCAGAGTCTTTCTCATCTTACAGACTAATAGTTCACCCATGAAATTTTGAAAAGTGAGGACCAATTTTTTTCCTATGTTAAATTGGGTTAGATTACATAGATTACAGACCTGACCTGCAAAAATCTGGATGACCACTAGATAGCTATTTGGATTTTTGCAGACCAAATATGATAGTTCTGCTATTAAGCTGCAGTTCTGAAAATTGAGGCTGCAGAAATTTGAGAAAATATATTGTGAAGACTATATTATGAAGGCTAAATGTGTACTGTGGAAAGCAGAATCATATTTTTTTTTTGCAGGATCGCTGTTTATTTCACATTTTAAATATAATTTAAAATCAGTGAGTTACTTTTCAAAGCAACCAGTAAAATACTGCAATGATATCAAATATCAGTGAAAGTCCAATAGCCGTTTACAATTATAACTGATTGCTTTGTCCATCTTCCAGTGAAGAAGATGGATCCTTTTTTGAATTCTTCTTTTTCTTTCTGACTGACTTGACCTGAAGATAATCCTCAATGGGTTTCTCATTTGGATCTTCCAGTAATGTTGTCAGTAAATTGAACAGTAGCGCTATCCAAGCAAGTCCAAAGATAATCCAAATTGCTACCACAATCCGATAGCCATGGAAGTAGAATTTGTCATATTGCCTCCCTGGAAAAACAGAAGAAGGAAAAGCTGAATAAAGCAAAATACCTCTGTATTTTTTGGAGTATAAGACGCACTTCCCCCCCCCTAAAAGGGGGTGAAAATTTAGGTGGTTTTATACACCAAATATAGCCACCCATTGGCCCCCACCCTTTGGCCTGTGCCTCGCAGCAGTTACTTCTTGCAAGCAAACGGCAAGAAAAAGCAGCTCCTTTCAGCTTCAGCACAGCCTAATTAACACAAGTTGATTGGATCGGCCTCCTGACTCTCAGCTGATTTACTCTCAGCTGTTTTGCTCAGGGCTCTGCAGCTTGCTGCAAAGAGGTAAATTGCTGGAGCAGATTTTTTTTTCCTTGTGCTAATCAAGCTATGCTGAAAACAAAAATGAAAGTAAAGCAGGCTGTTTACTGTTTGTTGCAAGGAGCCTCTGCCAATCAGGCAACTCAGCTGGGATCATCAGAGGCATTTAAAAGAAAAAAAAGGTTTTTTTCTTTTAAATGCCTCTGACGATCCCAGCTGAGTTGCTTGATCTACAGAGGCTTTTTTTAAAAACCTCTGCCGATCAGGCAACTCAGCTGGGATCATCAGAGCATTTTGAAGAGGTTGTAGAAAAAATGGTTTAAAAGTTAAAAAAAAATGGCCACACCCACCCAGTCACATTACCCCACCACCACCAAGCCACGCCCACAGAACCAGTAGTAACAAATTTTAGATTCCACCATTGCTCTTAACTGCATCAGAACATACTGAACCATAGGAGTCATCCTGATCATTTTGTATCTGATCAAATTTATTTATTTATTTATTTATTTATTTATTTATTTATTTATTTATTTAATTTATTTATTTATTTAAATTTGTCAAGGACCTATTAGATAACAGATACATATATGAACATGGTTATTAATACATGAAATGGCTACGAATAAAAGGGGGACATTAGGTCAGGGACTATAGGCATGTTGGTGCGCTTATGCATGCCCCTTATAGGCCTCTTAGGAATGGGGTGAGGTCGACAGTAGATAGTCTAAGGCAGGGGTCTGCAACCTTAAACACTCAAAGAGCCATTTGGACCCGTTTCCCACAGAAAATAAAACACCGGGAGCCACAAAACCTTTCCCATGCCTGACTATTTCTTGAGTGGCCACAAAACTAGCATATGTAGTTGAATATGTAATTTTCTTCTGAAACTTTTCTTTTCTTGGATTTATCCATGGTTGGCCTACCTGGGGTTAAAAAGCTCAATACATTATGTGCTGGTGGGTGTCGCACATTGATGGTTGTGACGCATATTTTGAGTGACAGGGAGCCGCAGCAGAAGGGTGAGAGAGCCACAAGTGGCTCCGGAGCTGCAGGTTGCTGACCCCTGGTCTAAGGCTAAAGTTTTGGGGGTTTGGGGAAGAAACCACAGAGTCAGGTAGTGTATTGTTTTGAAAATGTTACAGGAAAACTTACCTATCATATAATCTCCAAATCCAATGGTGCTAAGAGTAATAAATGTAAAATAAATGGCTTCACTATAGGACCAGCCCTCTATTTTTCGAATGATGACCGATGGCACACAAAGAAACACTAGTATTCCCATAACCAGGAAGAACAGAAGCGTCAAGCCCCTTGCTGTTCTCTGAAAAACAAAGAAAAAAAGCTGATTTGATACAAGAAAATTGCCCTTGGTACAGACAGCTGCCTCTGCCTGCCTGCCTGCCTGCCTGCCTATTTCCAGGACTTCTTTGGTCTTATATTGCCTCCTATTGTTCTGACCTAGGCTTCCCCAAACCACGAAGCAGACTCCTCGTCCTGATAAAACCTCTTTTATTTAGGTTAAAGGGAATTCCTCTCCAGCAAAGTCCCAGCAAACAGTCTTTCATGAGATTTCACAACTACAGACCTTTATCAGGCTTGGAGAGTTGCCAGGCTGATATCTTCCAAATGTGATGCTGTAGCAGCAATTACTTGGCAAGAAGTCAGGAACAGATCTTCACCCTCATGAATTGAACTAATTGTCTCCTGCAAACTCCCCTCCCATTTCACTCCTCTCTATTCCCTATGGGAGGGGCCATTCCCTGACCACCTGTGCCTTTACTCCCGAGTCAGCCTTTGTTCCTTAGCTGTTCCCTTCCCCTGGCAGCTCTGCGCATGCGCACATCGGGAACAGGCTCCAGCTGTTTTTCTGCACCACTGATATCCGACTCTGAAGGCAGCTGATAACTGCTGGACGGCCCTGGTCCCATCTCTGCCTCTGACACAGAGCCCTCATCAGAGCCTTCCCCAGACTCCAGGACTGGCCCATGTTCCTCCCCAACCTCCTCACTGTCTGAGTCTGCCACCAGCTCTGCTGGCTGCTGGCGGGCCACAACACCTATCTCATACAGGTAGTCTTCAAATTACAACCACATTTGGGACCAGACTTTCTGTTGCTAAGCAAGGCAGCTATTAAGTGAGCCATTCCTGATTTTATGACTTTTTCTTGCCACAGTTGCTAAGTGAATCAAGCAATTGTTAAGTGAATTCAGCTTTGCCTCATTTTCATTGCTTGTCAGAAGCTGACTGGGAAGATTTCAAATGCCTCCCAAGTCCCAGCTGATCGGGAAGAAATGGGGATTTTGCAGTAACCTTCCCCTGGATTGGGAAGGGAATGGAGATTTTACAATATCCTTCCCCTGGAGTGGGATGGGAATGGAGATTTTACAGTATCCTTCCCCTGGAGTGGGGTGGGAATGGAGATTTTACAGTATCCTTCCCCTGGAGTGGGGTGGGAATGGAGATTTTACAGTATCCTTCCCCTGGAGAATCACATGCTCCTGGAATGCCTCAACTGTCATAAATATGTCGATTGCCACAAACCCAAATTCTGATCCTGTTACCGTGGCGGTGTTGCAACAGTTGTAAGTGCGAGGACCAGTTATACACCAGTTTTTCCGGTACCATTGTAACTTTGAATGGCCACTAAATGAATGATTGTAAGTTGAGGACTATTTGAGGATTCATGGGCTGCATTGTTGCGTGTTACGTTTCCATAGTGTTACAATGCATTTAGTGTACTGATTTGAGTGCTATCTTTTAAGCCTTCTTTAAGGATGTAGAAAAATTGGACTCCCTCAGGCCAGGTGCTGAGTCATTGGGAGGGCTGAGCAAGGAACACTAGGAAAACCCCTACTGACACTGGGATCATCTCCATGGTTTAGGGCCAGGGTATTTACGAGACCGCCTTCTGTTACCGATAACCTCCCACCGGCCAATATGCTCTCACAGAGAAGGCCTCCTCAGGGTGCCATCGGTCAAGCAATGTCGGCTGGCAGCCCCCAGGGGGAGAGCCTTCTCTGTGGGAGCACCCGCCCTCTGGAATGAGCTACCTCCCGGAATACGGCTGATTCCGGATCTCCGCACTTTCCATAAGGCCCTGAAGACGTTTTTATTTCAGCAAGCCGGCCTGGCCTGAATAGGTTTTATTGGTTAGTTTTTTAATTGTATAGCTTGGGTTTTAAATTGGGAGGCCGATTAATTTAATTTATTTTTAGTTATCTTAACTTTTATATTGTATGTTATTTTAATTTTCGGCTGTTCACCGCCCTGAGTCCCTTCGGGGAGAAGGGCGGGATATAAATTCAATAAATTAATTAATTAATTAAATTAATCTAAGCTAGGAGTGAAGGTCATCCCAGCCCCAAAGCTAAGTTAAGCATTCAAGCAGCAGCAGCAGTGGTGAAATTCAATTTTTTTTACTACTGTATTTTCCGGCGTATAAGACGACTGGGTGTATAAGACGACCCCCAACTTTTCCTGTTAAAATATAGGGTTTGGGCTATACTTGCCATATAAGACTGCCCCTCTTCCAATGCACACCAAATAAAAATTAAAAAACATCAACTGGCTCACCTACAATGTAAAAGCAGCTGTGCTAGACCCAAAATGGCCCCTGTAACAAGCAGGAACCTCACACAGCCACAAAAAGCCCCCCCCAAAAAAACTTTCACACTCTAAACACACACAACACAACACAACTGGCTCACCCACAATGTAAAAGCAGCTGTGCTAGACCCAAAATGGCCCCTGCAACAAGCAGGAACCTCACACAGCCACAAAAAGTCCAAAAAACCAACTTTCACACTTTACACACACAAAATTCCACATACAGCTTTGTGAGATTTTGTGTGTTTGTGTAGTTGGAGTGAAACACTACAGAAACACACTAAATCTCAGAAAGCTGCACAAATATTGTTTTATTTTATTTTATTTTTATTTTTATATGAAAGCTAAATTTAAAACTTCCTAAACTTTAAATGGCTAGGTCTAAAAAAGAACAACTAAAAAAACCCCAATTGACTATTTTTTTTAAAGCTCCCAAAGGGGAAAAAATCTTACCCAATAGAACAGGGGTCTCCAACCTTGGCAACTTTAAGACTTGTAGACTTCAACTCCCAGAATTCCTCAGCCAGCTTTGGTTTGAAGTCCACAACTAACTCCTTGCTTGATTGCAGGCAGGGAGTTGCTTGCTTGCCTGAATAGATTCAGGCAAGCAAAGCAAGGCAAGTGTTGCGACTAGCAGCTGAGGTAAGCAAGCTGGAGGGGGAAAACTTTTTCCCTTTTACATGGCTCTGGCCATCCCAGCTGAGTTGCAGGGAACTCTGCTGGGATGGGATCGACCGTCAGAATTGGGACCGTCAGAGCCATGGTTCTGGCGATCCCAGCTGAGTTGCAGGGAACTCAGCTGGGATCGTCAGAGCTGGGATGGTCAGAGTAAAAGGGAAAAAACTTTTTTCCTTTTACGTGGTTTCTGGCGATCCCAGCTGAGTTGCAGGGAACTCAGCTGGGATTGTCAGAGCTGGGATCGCCAGAGCTGGGATCGCCAGAGCCATTTAAGGCTCGTCAGAGCCTTTTGGGCTGGTCTGCCTGGTTACAGGAGAACTACACCCGGCGTATAAGACAACCCCCGACTTTTGAGAAGATTTTCATGTGTTAAAAAGTCGTCTTATACGCCGGAAAATACGGTACCAGTTCTGTGGGTGTGACTTGGTGGGCGTGGCATGGCTTGGTAGGCATGGCGTGGCTTGGTGGGCGTGGCAGGGGAAGGATACTGCAAAATCTCCATTCCCTCTCCACTCTGGGGCCAGCCAGAGATGGTATTTGCCAGTTCTCCGAACTACTCAAAATTTCCGCTACTAGTTCTCCAGAAACCTGTCAGAACCTGCTGGATTTCATCCCTGAGCAGCAGCAATATAGAAAGCCTGGCAACTACAAAGGCATCATTTCAAACTGTGTCAGTGATAAACCACTCCTGAATTTCAACCAGAAAACTATGTGGATAGATAATATAAACGTGTTGATCGTGAATAAGATATCTGTTGAAACACTATAAATTAACACTACCTTGATGACACATACCAAATGAGAAAAATTGGATAGCTTTAGAGAGGACAACAAAGATAGTCCTAAAAGGAAAGGGTAAGATATTGTTAAGAAATTGTTAAGTTATAAGAATTGGATTGTGTTCTTTGATTATATAAGTGGCAGGCTTAACTGTCAAAGTTTAAGAGAAATATTTTAAGATTGGGGTATCCAACCTTGGCAACTTTAAAATTTGAGGACTTTGACTCCCAGAATTCCCTAGAATTCTACATGAATACTGGCTGGGGAATTCTGAGAGTTGAGGTCCACAAGTCTTAAAGTTGCCAAGGTTGGATACTCCTGTTTTAGAGGGAGTTCAAATCAGTTACGGTATTCTGCATATTGGAGAGCTTCAGGTTGAGAGGGGAGACATTTTTGCCTGATAATTTGCTTTGAATTTATCATATTTAAACAGAAGTTGGACTTAAATCTCTCTAATGGTACAATCATTCGATGCCATTTGGAATTACATCAGTACAGGAAAACAGGAGCAGATTTCTTTTAAAATCTGAGATATGGTTTGGCCTGGATTAAATGAACCATTTGCAGTTTTGGGGCTTCTGCTTGTGCACATTAACTGACACATAAATCAGATTAATGCACTAGAAATATTTTGTTTCCAGAAATGGATTTAATGAAACTACACAGCTATTCAATATGTCCTGATAGCTACATCGCTGTAACTTTAGTACGGATGTGTTTTGTTGGTAATGAGCAGCTGCAAAACAGCTTTAAATGATGATTATTTCTGCTTGACTGATGCATGAATCAGACTGTTCTTCAATTAAATTATCATCTTAAACTCTTTGTCTTATTTTCATAAATAATCGTGGAATAAAGGTTTTTTTTTTAAATTTTACCTTTTTTACACCTTTCCTATACAGCCATTTAGCTAGCCGTTCGCAGACCATGGAGAGCATCTTGCCAATATGCTGCAAGAAGACAATATTCAGAGGAATTCCAAAGAGAGCAAAAAAGACACAGAAAAGCTGACCACCAGCCGTTTTGGGAGAGAGGTTTCCGTAGCCTGTGAAAACATGAAATTTACAGAGAATATACTGGTGAGCATTATGTTATGTTGCAACAAAAAAAATGCCCTTTATCCTGAGCAAATGACAGAATAGAACCCCAATAAAAGATGTATATTATTTATTACTATTGGTACTTCCTTCCTGGCTTTACAAGCAAGATACAATCTGAAAAGTAATTCTTTTTCCTTCAGGATGTCATTAATTTGGAGTTTCCAAATGCCACCTTCCTTGAGTTCTCTAAGGCTTTCATTTTCTTGAATCATCCATGATTATCAGCATAGCTGGATTTCTTTACTAGACATATATAACTTGTTTTAGGACCAAGATAAAAAAGTGACTGAGGCAAGGACGAAACCTAGATATTAAATGTAATTCTGCAGTTTCTCTGCACATCTTTTATTGTGTTCTTGTCCTTGGTACAAAAAAAAAATGACCATTCCATGGCAACTAGTAAGGGGTAGAGTGCAGTTGAGGAACAGCTCTAGTGATCAACCCCAAAGTAGTTTGAGGTCTTAAATAATTCACACATGTTTTTATAAGAATACTTCTATTATCAGAATATTCTCGTATTACAATACTCTTTCAGTTTGCATTGACTCACGTTTATTTCCAGTCTAAGCATGCAGTTGAAATAAGCAACATGTTCTTTAAATTGTTCAACAGTTTAAAGAACAGACAATGTTGTTTTAGGCTGAAATCCCAAGAAGATTTAGCCAAGCAACCCAAAATAATCAGAAAACCTATTTATCTGTTCTTTTAAATGAGTTAGCCAAAAGTTAAAGTAGCCTGGGATACATCAAGTCCGAAGGCTGAGCCTTCCCAGGAGACCCAGACAAGCCCTATTTCTTGTTCACCACAGTTTTGAACAAATACTAATGATATTCCTTCTTCCCTATCAGCCGCCCTTGTATTTGTCATGCATTTAGAAAGTCGGAGAAGATTGTTATTATGTCTTCCATGTGGAAAATACAAAATAATGATATTCTCTCATATACTATAGACATGATAATGTGTAAGGAAGAAATGCATCTGCGGAAAAGTGTTTGTGGTTTTAATATAGTCCATTTAGAACAGCAGCCCCCAACCTTTGGGGCACCAGGGACCGGTTCCATGGAGAGAGGTTTTCCTGCGGACTGGAGGGGGTGTGGTTTCACATGCTGCCTGAATCCTATGAATGAGGCTTCGCTTGTTTGTGCAGCTTGGTTTCTGGCATGCCGCGGACCAGTGCCAGTCCACGGACCAGGGTTGGGGACACCTGATTTAGAAGAATCGGTATGACATGCTGAATAAAAGCTGTGATTCTGCACAAATTTTCTTGAATTGCAGAAAATGTGTTTATTATTTATTAGATTTTTATTCTGCCTTCATTATTTTATAAGTAATTCAAGGTAGGAAACAGGCCTAATTCTCTTCCTCTTCCTATTTTTCCCACAATAACAACCGTGTGAGGTCGGTTGGGCTAAGAGAGAATGACTGGCCCAAAGTCATCCAGCCAGCTTTCAGGTCTAAAGCAGGACTAGAACTCACAGTCTTTTGGTTTCTAGGCCAGCAACTTAACCACTACACTAAAATGGCTCTATAGAAAGTTTAAAAAAATATTTTAAAAAATCTAAATGTCTGTAAACAATTTAAAATGTTGGATTGTCATTGGGGCTGGGCTAATAGTTTATTACAGGCATTTGTAGTGACCTTTCGCATTGGACAGAAGATTTTCCCACAGCAGTCTGTTTCACAACATTGCTGTATCATAACATGAGAAAACTTCATATATGGGCCTGTGAACTTTTTGGTGAATGGGATGGGGTTAAACGAGTTTTTTAAAAGTTATTTCTATTTATGAGCAGAGACTTTCCACAGCTTTGTATTTTATCTGTTTTCCTTTTGATAAGATCACAGCCTCTTTCTACATATGAATTAAAACAAGTGTATTTGAAATTTCAAGCTCAGGATTTGGTATCACTTTGTTGCTTATACAAATATATGCTGCCCTATTTCGTATTAACAATTGTCACAAAAATGAATTATAGTTTGTATGATTTTATAAGAAAGAGGAAGATAAGTTCTAGGAGTCTGATGCATAAAAACGACTCTTGAAACAAACTGCAATAAATGTTTCTGACTTCAATATAATCAATATTCAACTGGAGCACCCCGAGTTGCTTTCAGTGAGATGGTAGGTTATAGAAATGTGATTAATAAACAAACAAACATTTAAAGGAGAAGCATAAGCAGTTTACCTATTGTGGATAACATAGAACCCACAAAGAAGAAAGAATTACTGAAATCCCAATTGTTGTGTTCATCAGAGAATTCATTTTCTGCTGGATATATGCCCCTCCTAACGGCTTCCATCAGATTCTGTAATTAAGGTGACATTTGACATTTCAATAACCATAACTGATTATCAAATAACATTTATTTATTTATATGTTTTTTGCTACCAAGCTGCATCTTCTGATTCTAGAAACTTCTACCAAATAAAATTGAACTGAAAGGATAAATCTTTTCAAAATACCACAACCTTTTCTTTAAAACTTCTTGAACATACAGCTTAATACATCAATTTCATAATTAAAAAGGGAAGGGGATGGGATGGGATGGGATGGGATGGGATGGGATGGGATGGGAAGGGAAAGGAGAGGAGAGGAGAGGAGAGGAGAGGAGAGGAGAGGAGAGGAGAGGAGAGGAGAGGAGAGGAAAGGAAAGGAAAGGAACTTTTGACCTCCACTGATGATATTCAAACCACCAGAGTTTTTTGATTCATTATTTTTTGGATTCAGTTCAGAAAGAATGCCCTACCTCCACAAAGATGTTCACCTCCGCTGCACTGAGGGAAGTGAAGTTCTTCAGAAAGTCCTCCTTCATTCTAAAGATGATGTCTTGTTGTAATCTCTCGGCATCTTTTTCCAGAACCTGGAAGATGAGAGCGCCTACCAGGAGATAAGCAAGGTAGCCAGCTGCTAACATACAGCTCTGTACTCTGCTGTAGAACATGGTGGCCTGTGGGAGAAAGTAAGCAAAGAACACAGAGAGGCTGGTAAACACGGCCTTATTTGTAATTTTTCCAACCCTGATTGAATGAAATCCCAGCTGGGCAGTTCTCAATTCAGCTTGGAATTTGAACTGATACTGTCAATGATGTCTCCCCCCCCCCCCAAATAGTCTCAGGGTTAAGAGCAGCTTAGGGACTTCCTAAGTAAAGCAAAATATTGTTTCACAAACTTCCCAGGAGAATGTTGTAATTACTCTGGCCTCACTCCCATAATTTTTCCAGTTGTTTTTTCTTCCCATGATAAACCCATTAACTGGAACTGGCTTCACAATATTTTTTTGATAGCACTAACAACTGCCTGGAAGCATCCTTAGTAACAAATGCTCCAGGCAACTAGTCGTTCTATCTCCTCACTTTTCTGATTCCATTTTAAAATGTAGCCGGGATTATTAAAGCTATTTTCATTATTTGCTAGGATCAAGTTTCTATGAATGTTTGCAGGTCTAAACAGCTCATATAAAACTGACAGCCAATCAACACTTGCCCTTCCTGGCAAATAACTGAACACAGAGAACCAGAAGCCAATCAGTGCTCATCTATTTCACATTTAAACACATTATTATTATGATTGGTCACACAATCAGCCAGATGTTTAGAGGGGGTTTTATCCATCTGTAGCAGGGATGTCAAACTCAATCTCATTGAGGGCTGCATCAGGGTTGTGTTTGACCTTGGGGGCCAGGATGGGCATGGCCAGGGTGGGTGTGGCCATCTTGACATCACTTGTGTCAGGGGTATCTGTGGTGGCCTGAGTGCTCTGCCAATTAAAATGGGCTCCCGAGCTCTGTTTTTGTCTGCAATGGTCTCCTACCATTCTCTGCCAGTGAAAACGGAGTTCCGTAGGGTGCACACACAGCCCTCCCAAGCTCCGTTTTCACTGGCAGAGGCACCGCAGGCTGCTCCTTCACTGTTCCCAGGCGGCCCCATGGGCCAGATATAAGCACCCCACAGGCCTTGAGTTTGACACCCCTCATCTATAGCATCCTTCTCAAGGACAAATGAGATAGTAATAATAATGTATTATTAAAATATTAACATTAAAATAAATTATTATATATACAACAATGAGAATTGTCACAATTTTCAGCTGGCATTATTATATAAAAATTATAAACACAAATTATATATAAATATGAATTATAAGTAATATAATACACAATTCTGCCAATTCCCATTGACTCTGGATAATTATAAATAGTTAAAAATATTTTAAAACAAGTATCAATGCAAGAAACACAAAACAGAACATATCTGTTCCTGATTTAAAAGGAAATGAAATTGCTGGATGCCCTGTAGAGCCTTAACCCCCACCCCTACCCCCATTGCCTTCTCTGATAGGCATTTTGTGTTAGGATTTTTTGTGCAGTTTATTTACTTATTTATTTATTTTTATTTTATTCAGTTTGTATACCGCCCTTCTCCTAGTGGACTCAGGGCGGTGCACAGCCAGAACTAAAACACTTACCAATACAAAATTTAAAATTTTTAAAAGAATTACATGACTTTGGCCCAGAATTTAAAACATTCAAACTAAGTTGCCATACTGAAAGATTAGAAGCTGGGCATTTGAGCCACCTGCCCCTTTCAGTGAGAAACTACACTGCCCTTTGAAATGTTTTTTCCATGATAGCTGTAGCTCCTGCTTCTGCAATGAGAACTGTAGCTAGAGATAGCATTGCTTTTTCAGTTAATAGAGAGCTTCCGACACAAGGATAATTCAGGAATTATTATAATAGGAAGCATCTGGTTGCAATGCCATGTGATCAACACAGAGTTCTGCTCACATTTATGACAGTAAAAATAAGAAATTAACTGCAGCTTTTCTGACTAACACATTTAATTAAAGGGCATAGGCTTTCATAAGCTGCAGTTCATGTCATCAGTTGTATAGAGTGGCTTGACTAATGTACAATTTAAATTGGGATGGGGAAGGGAAGGGAGGGGAAGATAAATTGGTTATGCAGAGGTAAGTTATATGGACGCATATTATAAGTACCATGACAATTAACAATTAAAAACCCACTGTGGTTGTTAAAACCTTCTGAAATTGCCTGATACCCTTTTTCGCGTATGTTCAATTTCTCACTTGATTTTGCTGTTAATGTCCTGCTTTTCTAAAAGAGTGACTGTGAGGTCTGCAATGGAAAGCTGAAATGTTTTACTATTATATTGCCCTTGATTTGAATTTGTGTGTTTTCATTCTCTGCTGAAACAATTTTATTTTCATTTTCTGCTGAAACAATTTATCCTGCTTGTCCTACGTTGAATCCAGAAGGTTATTGCTGGCAGACGACTTGGAAGTCTTCACTTTGGAAGAATATGTGAAAGTGCCTCTAACTGTATGCGTTGAGGCCTGTGGTGCAGTGATGGGTTTCAAATTTTTTTACGACCGGTTCTGTGGGTGTGGCTTGGTGGGTGTTGCATGGCTTGGTGGGCGTGGCTTGGTGGGCATGGCAGGGGAAGGATACTGTAAAATCTCCATTCCCACCCCACTCCAGGGGAAGGTTACTGCAAAATCCCCATTTCCTCCCAATCAGCTGGGGCACGGGAGGCAGAGAATAGATGGGGGCATGGGCAGTTCTGGTTCTCCGAACTACTCAAAATTTCTGCTACCGGTTCTCCAGAACTGGTCAGAACCTGCTGAAACCCACCTCTGCTGTGGTGGTGATGTTGTGTAGATGTGAGAGCAAAGTAGACGTCTGCATTTGTTGCAGTATCTGATTCCCACCTTGGCATAATTATCCTGTTGCTTCTAGTTGCTTGTGAGAATCTGCTTATGCCTTTTAAAAAAACTTGCTATTTGAAAAAGGCAGTACCATTTTCCTGATTTTTGGCATTACAGACTAAGAGGCCTCTTCTCTTGTGCCAATGGCACTCTGTATGACAAAACAGAGGAAGGTGGATATATTTCTTGCTAAAATAGACCATTGAGAAAGAAGGAGAAATCATAGAATCATAGCATTGGAAGGGACTTTGGAGGTCTTCTAGTCCAAACTCTGCCCAAGGTAGAAGCCCTTATTCCATCCTGGACAAATGGTTGTCCAATCTTTTCTTGAAAACTACCAGCAATAGAGCACTCACAGCTCTGGGAGGCAAACTGTTCCATGGATTAATTGTTCTCAATGTCAGGAAGTTTTCTCCCTTGTTCCAGGTTGAATCTCTTTCTCTGACTAGCTTCCACTCATTGCTCCTTGTCCTGCCCTCAGGTGCTTTGGAAATAAATCAACCCCCACTTCCCTATGACAGCCTTTCAAGTATTTGAAGAGGGCTATTAGGTCACCCCTAAACCTTCTCTTTGTTAAGCTAAACATACCTAGTTCCCTAGCTGTTCATTACATGGTTTAGCCTCCATCTTTGTTTCTCTTCTCTGCACTCTTTCTAGGCCCTCAGCATCTCTTTTGCATAATGATAATAAGAAAAATCAGAAAATAATTTTACAGCACCAGATTTTCCTTAGTGAATGTGACCTCCCAAACCTAAAAAACAACTCGAAGAAAAATATTTAAGGAGAGATGAAGAAGAGTATTAAAATATTCTGAAGATTACTACCTAATTCTTTAACTCCTATGTCCATTAAATTAAAAAAAAACAAAAAACACTACCAATGCAAATTAACACAACTTTAGAGCATTTCCTTGAAGAGGGAGAGAAAAGAAGCAATGATAGAAATTTTCAACCTATTTTGCTCCAACAGAATAGAATAGAATTTTTTATTGGCCAAGTGTGATTGGATACACCAGGAATTTGTCTTGGTGCATATGCTCTCAGTGTACCTAAAAGAAAAGATACGTTCATCAAGAATCATAAGGTACAACACTTAATGGTAGTCATAGGGTACAATTAAGCAATCAGGAAACAATATCAATATAAATCATAAGGATACCAGCAACAAAGTTACAGTCATACAGTCATAAGAGGAAGGAGATGGATGGTGGGAACGATGAGAAGAGTAATAGTAGTGCAGACTTAGTAAATAGTTTGACAGTGTTGAGGGAATTATTTGTTTAGCAGAGTGATGGCGTTCGGGGAAAAACTGTTCTTGTGTCTAGTTGTTCTGGTGTGCAGTGCTCTATAGCGTCGTTTTGAGGGTAGGAGTTGAAACAGTTTATGTCCAGGATGTGAGGGGTCTGTAGATATTTTCACAGCCCTCTTTTTGACTCGTGCAGTATACAGGTCCTCAATGGAAGGCAGGTTGGTAGCAATTGTTTTTTCTGCAGTTCTAATTATCCGTTGAAGTCTGTGTCTGTCTTGTTGGGTTGCAGAGCCAAACCAGACAGTTACAGAGGTGCAGATGACAGACTCAATAATTCCTCTGTAGAATTGTATCAGCAGCTCCTTGGGCAGTTTGAGCTTTCTGAGTTGGCGCAGAAAGAACAACCAAAAGATCACTCCAAGCCCCTCTCACTACTGCCTGAATAAATAGACCCCAGCAATCATAAACTAGAATTCAAAGGGGGAAAAAAAGACTTTCTGGAGCAGATTAATTTAAGGCTCTGGCTGATCCATTCCAAGCAATCTACACATCTACCAATTAACACTGAATTGTTGATTATAACATAAATATTGACAGGCCTTGAACAAATAGCTGATAAATTCAGAAGGCCATTTGACTCCATAATTAAAAATCTCAACATACTGAAAATAATCTTACAAGTAAAGGTGGAATACTTTGAAAACCAAAGTCACTATCCAAATACAGTATGTGGCGCTGGAAAAGGTCCCAAAACAGGAAAAAGAGAGGTGCACATTATTTCCTCTTCAACCCAAGAACACTGGAAGTTTTTAAGAAGAGATTGGATAACCATTTGTCTGAAGTGGTGTAGGGTTTCCTGCCTAAACACGGGGCTGGACTAGAAGACCTCCAAGGTCCCTTCCAACTCTGCTATTCTATTCTATTCTATTCTATTCTATTCTATTCTATTCTATTCTATTCTAACATACTGCCTCT